AAAAAAAAAAAAAAAAAAAAAAAAAAAAAAAAAAAAAAAAAGACCTATTATTTATTAAAAACTTATATTCGATTGAATATTCAATCAAAACATTTATTAAATGTATGTATATCAATAGAGACATTTTTCATTATTTAATATTAAAAAGAAAAAAAAAATATTTACTTTCTATAAATACCTGCAATAAAAGTCATCAATTGTATTTTTTAAATTAAATTACCAAAATATTTATGAGTTTACAATTTTATTTATATTTATAGTTATGTCAACTAATTATTTCTACGAAGACTGTATTTGTGCGTAAGCTTTTGACAACTTGCAAGTTTTTATAAAAAGTAAAACATTTAAGGACTTGAGATTTAATGATATAAATATATTCTACACAAGTTTTATTGCAATTAATTAATTATTTATATACTTATTTGGAAACATTTATAATGCACAAATAAAAGATATACTTATTTTCCTCATCAACCACAGAGTCACTTAAAAAACCATGTATCCGATGTAAATATTTGTGCAATAATTTTTTATTAATTATTATTATTATTTTTTTTTTTTTTTTTCTAGTGCTTATCAAATTTTACAGTTTGTTATTTTAAAAAACAATTTAAAGTTAATCACACAAAATTTAAAATACGGTGTCATACATAAATCCATGTATTTAAAAGAAATGAACTTATTCTAATTATTTGATATACTCATTCTTTTTTTAATCATCGCATTCATGGTATGTTGCCCTGAAAATTCCAATCACAATAAATAATTGATTACATTACATCAGATTTTATTAGATAAGTTTATTTATTCCATCAAATACTAATGCAATATAGATCCCTTGAAAGCATACTTATATTTATACGTATCATTTAATCATTAATTATTATAAATTTATTAATTTAATGATGTCTTATTAATATAATAATAATAATAATAATAATAATTATTTATTGTAATTTATTGAATTTCAGTTTTATAATATTGTTTTATGATTGTGAATTTAATTTTACAGATAGATAAAATTTTCGAATTACTTCCAAAAATAAATACTGAACAAAATTAGAGTAATTAGATTAAAAAAAAAAAATGAATAAATAAATAAATAAAATTACAATTTTGTTTATAATTAATAATGAAACGTAAAGAGAAATAAAAATATAAAAATTGTGATACAAAATTTTATTTAAATCTTGAACATAAAGATTTTGAAAGACGAAGTTTTGTTTGCTTAATAGTAGTCAGATTTATTTTTCAAAGCCAAGTGTTTTCGTGAAAAACTGACTATTTATCGTAACAATATTATCATTTATTATCTTCCTCTTTCATTTATACAGAAATAATTAAATAATAATAAGTAAATTTCCAAAGAATTTTTAAAAATTATAAATATTTGATGAAATCATCGGTTACTTTTGTTTTAAATAAATAGTAAATGTTTACCTTTCTTTGCCCAAATTACGACGAGAAAGGCGTCTTTCTTTATTGTGCATTGTCAAAGTATATCGCTTAGTATGCGAAGGGTTGGTACGGAGTTCTCGTAGTTCAGTGGACCGAGCTTTTTCAACTTTTTCCATAAACTTGGTTATCAAATCAGGACAGTTAAGGTTTGCTTCTGGCTCCCATGTGTCATCGGCAGCCGTGAAGCCTTTCCAGCGGATTAAAAATTCCCGAGATTTATTTTTTTTAAAGTGAACGTCCAGGACTTTTTCTACTTCAAATTCTTTCTCCTCGTCACCGTTTTCATCCTCATTATCTTAAAAATAAATATCATTGTAATTATTGTAATTAGTATCAGATATCAATCAGCTATTTTAAAGATAATCATTTTTCAAGTACCATCGTTTTGTGGCTTGGCAGCTTTCGATTTTCTTCCTCGCTTCGTAGGAGTTTTCTCTTCAGAAGCGTCTTCTTCAGTACCACCACCATCCTCATCATTTTCCGGTTCTTTATTATCTGAAATTAATATAAAAAAAAATAAATTAAATCTTTAATTGAAAAATAAAAAATCAATAATAATAATAACCACCTGAGTCACGTTGTCTTTTTGTGGCTTTGGTCTTTTTTGTTTTTTTATTAGACTTTGGTGTTTTCTTTGTCGATTTTTTAGCTTTTTCCTCAGTCTGGTCAGTTTTATCGCCATTATTTTCTTCCTCAGCCATATAATCTTCTATCAACTGTTCGCAATTAAGGTCTTTTTCGTTTTCCCAGGTATCTGCGCTTTCGTCGTAACCTTTCCAGCGTACCAGAAATTGTCTACGGCCCTTAATTGTACGCCGTGAAATAATTTTCTCGACCTTAAAAATAAATAAATAAAAAAATTAAATCATTATATATTAGATATTAAAAGTATTAGTATTGATGAATATGAGAGACAACGGTGTTTGATTAAAAATTAAAAAAAAAAAAAAAAAAGAATGAAAGAAAGAAAAAAAAACGAATTGGCGGGAATGTCGGCATCTGGTTGCCACGCAACAATATTTTTTTCGAGTAAAAAACGAATATAAAGCTGGGAAAATATGTAAAAAAATCAAAAATTACCTCATATTCTTGCTCGCTGTTTTCATTTTCCTCAGAAGTAGTAGGTTTACGGTCCTCTTTTTTTCGGCGTTTGTTATCTCCACCCTTGGCGGGATTTCCATTTTCCTGTGCCGAAATTTCAGATAATTTTTCATCGGCGTCGTTATCATTTTTGGCCAAATCAGAATCATCCGCAGAAGTTTTATCTTTTCCACGCGAGGTTTTGCGTTTTGATTTCGAAGCACTTTCATTATTATCGTCTGATTTATTTGGCTGATCAGCGTCTTCAACTTGATGCGCATTGTCGCCATTTTCTTCTGATTCGGCGTCACTAGGACTTTCAGACTTTCTTCGCTTACCCTTCATTAATCTTCTCATTATATGTTAAATATTAAATAAATACAGCCAGATTACTGGCTTACTACTTATTATTAATATTTAAATTATATAATATTGTAAATAACTATTATTTATTAGTTGATTATTTTGGATGTCGCTCGATGTGATGATCAAAATCCACGCACCAACACAATTACACATACATACAAATTATTATTATATTTATTTATATATACAGATAGCAGGTTATCAGTGAGCGCCTCTACCGGCTGTTAACCGCTTCAAGCGCTCCAAGCTCCTCCAAGTGTTCAGCTTTGCTATATAATATATGTATAACTGTGTGTGTAAAAGGTGCTGACTCCATATACATATATGTACAATAATATATACATACATACTCAATTCTCCATAGACTAGAGATGAGCTTATAGGACTATACATATATATTTAATTTATATACATATGTAGGCTTGGCTTTTGGCTTTTCCAACGCTGGTTTTCCCAATTTTCCATTCCCAAGTATCGAATCTTTCACCCACTATCAACGATAAACTTAAACTTATACTTATACTTAATAATTAACCATTTTAAATATCCCAATTGTATCCAATATTTATTTAAAATTTTTACGCCTAGGAATTTTTATTTACACTAAAAATAACCATTTGTGTGTATGGACAAAAAGGCGTATCCAAATTTATTGATACTCGTAACACATATTTGATAATAGATTTTTACTTTTATCAATATTTAATTTTTTTTGTAAAGAAAAAATAATTATAATAATTATATGATGTTTGCGTTCTCTAAGTCATTCAAAATATATTAAATAAAATCCCAATGTAGAAAATTAAAGAAAAAAAAAAAAAAAACCATCTTCTATCTTATATCTACTTCTTTGAATTTTTTTGGAGTGAATGTTGACTGTCTATCTGAAAAAAAAGTAAAATTACATATATTCTCAAATGATGATGTTAATAACAAAAATAATTTGTGGATTTGATTGTACTATATATATATATATATATATATTTAGTACTACAGATTGTAGTTGCTTGTTGCTAAGGAGAATAAATTTTGTTTAATCATTTTTTATTTTATCTACACGTATAAGTATACTGAATGATAAATATTTAAATGTTAAATTTTAAAGAAGAATAATATAATACTGTAAAAATTACAATGGCCAAATCTGTTACTGTATACGAGAAGCCAACGCCTCATCTTGGTAATATTAAAATTTAATTATCGATGAATAATATTATATAATAATGACTCATATATTCTGAGGCTTGTACTACCATATATTTAGTATATTAATTTCATTAGTATACGCATGATGTTGAGTATTTATTGATTTTTTTTTCAAGTTGTACATACAAATTGTTTCTTTTTTTTTTTTTTTTCTCCAAGTTTTAGTTTATTTAGTTTTGTATTTCTAGATATATGAGATAATGATTTCTTTAATAAATTTATCGGATGGGCGTATTTTGTCGGTAGATTATAATGGAAAATATTAACAATAAATTGTTGTAATTATTTTAAAAAAAAATGATAGGTCTACCAGATTGGTATGCAAAGCAATGGGAACTTGAAGAATCTGCAAGTAATCGTATAAATAATTCTTTTGAGCTTCGAAATACTGGGCGTACTTTACGAAATGAAACCAAAATTAAAACAGAGTGGGATACTTTGTTAAACAGCACAAGGTTGGATGATAGGTACAGTAATATTTTTTTTTAAATTTATTATGCAATATCATCATTTTTTTTTACTTGAATTAAATTGAAAAAAAAAAAAAAAAAAAAAAAATAAATATTTATTAGGGTAAAAGAACTTTCAACATGGGAAGAAATTTTAGCAAAATTATTTAAGGAACTCTCGGTAGAAAAAAAACGACTACGAGAAGCAAGAGCTGAGGCTGAAAAAGACCTAGAGAATATTGAACATCCACTTAAAGTTGCAGCTGAGTGTATTTCTATGAGAGATTGTCGTAGAGGTAGCGAGTTGACTTACGATGAACCTGATACTGAGGTTAAAAAAGAGCTTACGGTAATAGAAGCATTGAAAAAAAACTTGACAGAAAAAGTCCAAGCAGCTTGGGAAAAATTAAATCGGCTTAAACAGGTTGAGTTTGAAGTTAATTTGGATCTAACAGACAAATCCGAGGCCATTGGAATTGACAAAGACAATACTAATCTTAATCGAAATTCAGCTATTGTCAGTTACAAGCCAAATGCTTTGAGGATTCCTAAAGAGTAAGAATTATTTAAAAATTAAAATCTTTTAAGTTAATTAATTTATTAATAAATAATTATTTTAAGCGCTAAAACATACGACACTTGGTTAAAACATTGTCATCATATTAAACTCTTGGCTGAAAATGAATTAAAAGATACTCATACCTTTCGCGATATAATGATTGCTATGCAAAAACGTGCAAAAAATGATATAGCGGCTCAGCAAGATGCTACTGATTATGCATTGAGAAAAAGAATTCACCAAACTCAAAAATCACGCAATCAAATGGAATGGCAAAAGAGAAAAGTTGAAAAAGAAATGGAATCGCTGATTAAAGAAATACTTAGACTTGAACACGCACTTAGAGATAAAGTAGAGATTGTTAAATGCGCTGAAACAAGATTGGAAAATCGGACTTATCGTCCTGGTTATGAATTATGTAGAGATGAGCCTGAATTCGGGCTCAAAGATCAAGTACTCCAGCTTCGCCAGACAAAAAAACAATTGCTTGAAAAGATAAATACTTTAAAGTAATAAGTTTTTTTATTTAATAAATAATAATAATAATAATAATAATAATAATAATAATTAATAATCGATAACTAATAATAATTGTTTTAAGGGCTACATTTAATGGATTGGAACAACTGCTTATTAAAATAGACAGAAACTTGGATGATAAACAACACTCGTTGATGACTGACATAAAATGCTTAGACATTAGATCGTCACTGAAGACGGGAAATCGTGCACCATTGATTAATGAAACTGATCGAAACATTGCTCTGGCTAATTTAGATGATGAAATCCCTTTTGAGTGATAGTTTTATTTATTTATAATTAACTTTTACACTTTATTCAAATTTTACATGCAAAATTTTTATTAATATATTTACGCAATGCTTTAATGATTATCCACTCGGTTTATTCTGTTGTGGTTAGCGGTTTTTAATAAAAATATATAAAATATCACTTACGCGTATTGGAATTATTAAATAAAATTTTTTTTTAATAATAATCATCCATATGCTCTGAATTGGCTTTCAATAAAGTAAACCTGGATATAAAATTATCTGAATCTACAGTATTCAAAGTTTTAACTGCCCTTTGATAAATGTTTGTAATATTTATAACATCACCATGGTTCATCTCAAAGATAATGTAATTAATCCAAACGTCGATGTTGTTTTTACCAAATTGGATTACCGCCATTTCATAAGGATGTCGGGCATTTTGTCTACTAATTGCTGATTGATTAACTTCGATGTTGGACATTTCGTTGTGAAGTTCTAAGCAAAATGGAGGCTCAATACTCAATTCCTTGTAGATATGACGAGTTTTTTTAATACCTAATTAATTATTTAATCAAAAGTTGTTGTTATTATTGTTATTATTGTTATTATTGTTATTATGTTTTTATGACCTTGAATGATTTAAATAGTAAAATTTTACAAACCTTTAGTTGCGGCAACCCATTTAATGTAAGCGGGCTTAAATTTTAAGGATATTTCTGGAGCTTCTTTTAATGCGGTTAGATAAAATTCTTCTAATTGTTCTGGGTGCTTTTCATTAATGTAAAGTAATTTTATCTTCCACAAGGGTAATGCTTTGTTCTTTAATATTTTTTTAGCCTGTAAATTTGATATTTTAACTTTCATTACTTGTATTTATTTGATTAAATAATATTAAAAATAAAATTTAATAAAACCTTATCGAATTCTGAAAGAGCCAAATCTTCTTGGTCGGAATTAAAAAATAAGTAATTTAATTTTTGTTTCCAAAGTTCAACACTCTCTGGATGAGCTTCTGTCGCACTGCTAAGAATTTTATTAAGTTTTTCCGAATTGTTTTTCTTATTTTCAAATACTTTAATCTGGAAAAAAAAAATCAAAAAAAAAATCAAAAAAAAAATCAAAATCAATAAAACTATATCTATATTATATTATTGATAATTAACTACAACTATTTACCCAAAGCCAATAGTACTTTTCTTCCAAATTATTTTGATGATGACCTTTCGTTAAAGCATTCTTCAAAAGCTTGCTTTTATAATTTGGCAAAGTAGAACTGTCTTTACTAATTTCAAGTAAAAAATTTATGTATAAAGACCACATTGCTTTAGTAGGTATAAGTTTAACCGCAGATTCATATATTTCAATAGCCAAGTTAAGATGATCCCTTAAATTATTTTTTTGGGACTTTTCAACATCAACATTGTCTTGAGGAGAAGACTCATTATTTAAACCTTTAAATTCTCTTCTTGCCCGCTTGTCCCACGCTTTAGGCTCGTCCGAAAAATTTTCAACCAAATCATCCATTATTATTTTCTGTAAATTTTTCGTCTTGTTGAACTTGGAAGCAATGTCTAATAACTCGATGGTTAAATTAATATCTTTAATATGCTTCCGTGCTTGTTGATATACTAATTCAGCACGTTTTAGTTCAACGGGTGTATCTTGTTCATTTGAACAGGCTTCGTACAATTCTAATCTGAAAAGCCAATGATGAATCATTAATACTTAAATTAATTTAAAATTACAGAATAAACTGTTTATTACTACTTACTCTAAAAGATCTTTATATAATATTTGTGCTTTAGGGTGAAAGTGTAGCCCTTTTAGTAATTGTTTTCTAGCTCTTTCAATATCTCTAGTTTCTTTCATGTGCCACTGAGCTGAAATATGCCAACATCTTGGTTTATCTTGATGAACTTTAAGCATTCTATCAGCGATTCCAGGTAAATGATATTGAAAATTCTATTTATAATTAATAATTAATAAAATTATAAATTAAGTGTTTGACTAAAAATGAATAAAAATTAAAATTTACCTCTATTTTACTAAGTTTCATAAGATCCACCCAAAAAGTTAAGTCACTTTGAAACCTCATCCTTGATCTCTTGTATAATTGTTTAATTTTTTTAATAATAGCATAATCTATACCAGCTTGTTTTTCCTTAATTCCCAGTTTCTGAAATAATTAAAAAATAGCAGTGAATGGAAAAAAAAAAAAAAGGCTCAATTAATTGACTTATTAAAATAACATAAACTAGATATATAAAATTTACCAGTCTCCGTTGTTTTACAAGATTCAGCACTACCATAAGATAAGAAAAATATGATAAAAAATCATCCTTGCTTTTAATAAGCCTTCCTATTTTGTATTCGTGATCTTTTAAATTTTTTATTATTTTTCTGTCGGATAAAACATATAATTATTAATTAATAAAACTTTTATTTATCATCATAAGTATAAAATATAAGGATAGCTAACCTATAAAGCTATAACTTACCGGATTTCGTTATCATCGAAAAGTTTAATCCTTTTCATTTGTTCCAATTCAGGAATCATTTCCTCGCATCCTTTTTCTACGAATTCTGCCATTTTCGATTAATTGCTTTATCTTCAATATTTTATTTTATTTAAATTTAAATATATAACTATTAACTGTAAGCAGTGGAAACACGTGTTGTTATACTTGGTGCCAAGTTGTGATTGTATGTATGTATAATTTAATATTGAAAAAATTTTTAATAGTTGGAGAAAAAGTTTGCTTCATTACCAACATTAGATAATAATGACCATTGTAATAAAATTATATAGGAGCAATCGTGTGTTTGATTTTCGGTTATTTATTTGAAAAAAAAAAAAAAAAAAAAATTAATTTTGCTTTCGATGAAAATTAAATAATAATATTTATAGAGTGTTTATAAATAAATATGCTCATCATATACCAAATAATAATTAAAATTAAAAAGCATTGTCAGGGTAACAATAATAATAATAATAAATCAATATTACAATCAACTATTATTAATTAAATAAATAAATAAATAAGTAAATAATAGTTTGAGATAAGTAAGTACAGTTGATTTATTTTAATTAGTGTTAGTTTGGATGATATTAAATGCAGAAATAAATGAATCACTGTATGTTGCATCTAAAATTTTGACAGCTCTGCGATATATGTCGGTAACTTTATGCGGCTCGCCGTATTTCATTTCAAATTCAATGAAATTAATCCATACTTCGGTGTTAGTTTTTCCAAATTGACTAGTAGCCATTTCGTGTGGACGTCGGGCATTTTGTTTGCATATGTCTGGTTGAATTAGTTCAATTTCAACCATTTCCTTGTGAAGTTCCAGACAAAATGGTATTTTTACACTGAGCTCATTGTAAATATGCCGAGCTATTTGAATACCTGGACATTATTTTATATTAGTTAATTAATAGAATTATATAAAATATCATTTAAAAATAATTTAAATACCTTTCGTTAATACCACCCATTTTATATAAGCTGGTTTAATTTCTCGAGATATTTCCACAGCTTCTTTTATTCCAGCTAAATAAATTTCTTCAACTTTATTCGGATACTTTGCTTGAGTATAAAGTAATTTTATTTTCCACAATGGTAATGCTTTATTACCCAATATTTTTGTAGCCTTTTAAATTAAGTATTAAGCATTAATTATTTTTTAATTAAAAAGAGATTATGAATCTATTATAAAAATATATAAAAGCTAAGCTAACCTTATCAAACTCTGTAATAAATAGATCATTTTTATTTACACTTATTAAATGTTTCAATTTATCCTTCCAAAAATCAACATTCTGAGGTAATGCATCAGTTGCATTACACAATACTTGATATAATTTATCTTTAAGGTTTTCGTCTTTTTTATCATTTTCTAAAATTTTTATCTGTAAAAAAATAGTTAACAATACCTATTATAAAATGTTGATTTAAAAAAAAAAAAAAAAAAACGTTGTAATAATTAATAAAAATTAACTTCAGTACCCAGTACCAATACTGTTTATCTTGCAACTTTTTTGACTGATGGCCTTGTATCAACGCGTTTTTAAGTATCTTGCGCTTGAAATTAGGCAGCGACGATAAATCTTGATTTATTTCCGTCAAACAATTAATGTAAAGAGTCCACATAATTTCACTTTTTAGTCTCTTAACTGCTGTTTGATAAACTTGATTGCAAAAATTAATTCGACGTCTCATAAGATTTAATTCTGTCTCGTCAACTTCCATCGAGTGATGATCTTCTCCATCAGGGTCATATGTAAATCCTGCCAATTCACGTCGAGCCATTGTATCCCAAACTTGTGGTTTATAAGAATAATCTTTCAGCAAGTCTCCTATAATTAACTCCTGTAACTTTTCTGTATTTTTGTGCTTTGTTGTTATTTCCAGTAACTTTATTATAAACGTAACGTCTTTTATTTGCTTGAAGGCTTGTTGGTAAACAACTTGGGCGCGTTCTAGCACTACTGCTGGCAATTCATCAGTTGTTTCAGTTTCATTCAATATTAATCTAAAAATTTATTTATTAAATATGTTTTATTAGTTTGTAATTTTTAAATTTATTATTAAAACTCACTGGTAAATTTCAGAGTATAAATGCTGAGAAGTTGGATGCAGCCGTAAACCTTTTAGAAGATCTTGTTTAGCTTTTTGTAAATTTTTATTCTCTTCTATTTGCCAACGAGCAACTATTATCCAACACTCTTGTTTGTTTTTATGTATTTCTATCATTTTTTCAATTAATCGACTGATGTTATTTGTCAAACGCTAATAAAAATAATTATTTATTAAAACAAAATAATCTAGTTTACAAATTACATATATGTATAATATTAATACTTACTAATTGTTTTCGAAATTTCATGTAAGCCATCCAAAATCTGAGATCATCTTGAAATTTAATAGTAGCTTTTTGATATAAACTATTTACTTTTTTAATAATTGGTGATTCAGTATCAGACTGTTGAGTAGTTATTCCCAATTTCTAAAAAAAATTTTAAATAAAAAAAAAATATAATTCATTAAATTAATAAAAGTTTTTAAAAAACCTCTTTGCGTTGCTTTACTCGCTTGAGTAAATCCATTTCGTATGTAATATATTTTAAATAGTCCTCTTTACATTTGGTATGACTTTGTATTTTAGTTTCATATTCTTCCAACTGTTTTGCTATGTTTCTAAAATAAAATAATATTTCATTAATTAAGTATTTACATACATACATACTATGAAAATATAAAAAATATAACTTTAACAAATTTATAACCTGCTTACCTAATTTCACTTTTATCAAAAAGTTTCATTTTCTTTATATACTCAAGCTCGTCGATATCTTCGCATTGATTTTCAATTAAATCTGCCATTTTTAATAGAATTAATAGATTCTATATTAATGCCAGTGTTCTTAATTATGAATATACATAAATAATAAATAAAATATTTATATCAAAACATTTCAATGTTTATTTTTATTATTTTAGAAGAAATAAATTTTAGTTCCCGAATTGACCACGGGCGCCGTTGTTTCCAACCGAATAATTTTAAAACTTTACGTCTTTAGATTAGTTCATTAGACTACAGAGTTACAGACCATTAGGTACATATCTGTGATGTTTGTCGAGAATATGAGTAGGATTATTATTTATTTTATAACGAATAATAATTAAATTATCAATCATGATTGTTAAAAATTAGTAAGTAAACAAACTTATATGTGATAATTTAACATATATTTGTACAGTAGTGAATGTTATCTCCGGCGACTAAATTTTAGAATTTTTTTTTTTGAGACAAGAAATATTATAATTCTGAGACATGAATTTAAATTCATATAAAATAAACTGAATAATCTAATATTAAATTGAAAAATCGGTTTAAGAAATAGAAAAAAAAAAGTTTGATTTTATTATAATTTATAATATAAAAGTGGATAATTGTCATTTGCGCATGCGCACCATTTTCTCGTAGTCCATGCATAATTTATAAAGTTTTGTCATGTCATGTCTCATGGCAGTCCGAGTGAGTGCAAGTAATCACGCTTAGTTTTTTGTTTTTTTTTTTTTCATTTTTCGCTAAAAAAAAAAAAGCAAATATAGTTTTCATTAATAATAATAATAATAATAATAATGGCGGTCAATTAGGTCAATTTGATATTTTTATAAAAAATACGCGCGCAAGGATAAATTTGAAAGGTAGTTGTAAAAAAATTGGTTAGATGTCGCCAGAGGGAGTGTTGTAACGTAATTCAAGATTTTATTGGATCAATGTACCGGATAAATTTTCATGATGGCTGACAGTTTTTCTGGTTTTTAATCAAGTGTAATGAGTACGTGCCACAGATCAAGTTAAAAAATAATAAAATTGAGACAATAACGTGTTGAAGATCCCAAGAGGACAATGGATGACAACCCAGCGACAATCGTGAGTGATGACATTTTGTTTATATTGTTTTTTTAAGTAATTGTTATTCATCATCCTGGTAAAGATAGATCATCACTATCATCACAGTGGTTTTTAATTATTATTAGTTGACATAAAATATTTTATAATTTATTTATTTATTTATTATTAGATAGTATAATTAAATTAATTATTTGGTTTTATTTACAAACAATATTATTTAAATATAAAAAAAATGTATAAAATGATATATGTAGTCTAAGGCATTGCCATCGGTTGCTATATATTACGTAATGCGCAAACGTAAGTATATAGTTCATTGGCCGCTTGATATGACGTCACTTTTGACGTATCTCATCATCTGTTTTCACGGTTTTATACAGACAAAATTGTGATTGTGACGTAGCAGTGACGATTTATTCAACATAGCTTCACAGTTATTAATTATAAACTAAACTAAACCAGATTTAGCTCTCAATGTCCTAGATCACGAGGAAATAAATTTAGCAGGTATTGCTAAATAATTCTGAATATTTTATTAGCACTCGTCGAGTCATTGCCAATCGCAATCGCTTAACAAATATTAATCACTGATAAATGCGTCGGTTAATGTATTAAATTGATTAATACATAATCAGGAAGTTGCAATAGTAACGTAAATGCAACGTGAGTAAATCCACTGATCCACCAGTAGTAGCTGTATACTATTCAATTGTTTATTCGTTATTTTTATTATATTCGCATTATACTATTGAATGAAATATAATAATAATAATAATAATAATAATAATAACAACAGTGATGATATAATATTCAATCGGTAACGCTAGTTGCATTTCTATAAGTAGATGTCGCATAATGTTTAAAAGTTGGATTCTTCATCAACACATTCTGAGTATACAGTTAAATGCTACTTATAAGTATATTAGTTGTATTAGTGATGAAACTCGAAAAAAGGAAATACTAAAATACTAAAACTAAATATCAGGACAGTTGACTAAGTTAAAGAGAATTCTCTCAAGTTAAATTGCCTGTATAGTAATAAGTATTATAATAATAGGCTTTCTTTAAATTTATTTTAGTAACAACGTTGTCATCTACACTTCCAACTGATGATTTCACAGGCATAATAATCTTAGATGCTATTTATAGTTTGATGACGCTTGTGGAATGTGAGCTTAATCGAGAGTAACATTTCTTCAGACTTGTGCTGTGTGATGTTTCTCATTCCTTTCCTCACTTTATCCTCGGTTTAACTCTTCTCGTTTGACGATTAAGTAACCATTGCATACCATCATCATAACTACGTGGGAGTCGGGTTCTTACTAAAATATAAATATCTATACATATAACAAAGTGACTTTGTTTTTTTAAATGACTTTGGCTTACAAGGTGTTAAAAATACAACTTTAAATAATATTATTTCATCAGCTGGCTTCTGTAAATATTTTTTAGTAAAGTCGAATTTCATTAACCGATATCTTTTTATTTATTTATTTATTTATTTTTTTTTTTTTTTTTTTTTTTTTTTTTTTTTTATGATAATTAATGTACAACACAATACTCGATCAACTAATTGTCGATGTTTTACTTTCAATGTTTAATTAGTTTTGCTATTTTTTGTATTATAAATATAATTGAATGATTAAATTAATGGTTTGTTGTATCCAAATATGGGTCAAAGTCAGTTTTCGATTTTAGTATTTTAAATTTATTAACATCATTAAGAATAACCTGATAGGCGTTATATATATATTACATTTAATAATATGATTAACTATACTTCATACAGCTAGTTTGTCAATACAATATTATTAACTGGTGATTAATGATTTGTTTATCATTGGAAAAAAACTTGTTATTCTCACGCATTTGTAAATAATGATAGGTTTTAATATATATATGATGATGATGATGATGATAGAACATAATACAAAGTTCAATAGGCAACCAGTTAAATTGTTGTCAATATGATGTGATGAGTCAACTTTTATTTTCTTTATTTATTTATTCATTTTGTTGTCATTTCATTTTTTAGGTCACGTGTGCTTATTAACTTAAATTGCTAAGAGAATTGAATCATCATTTACGATTTACTTATATTAATATATGACTATGTCATGCTGCAGAATTTAATCTGTTGAATTATTATTATCTAGAATGCATCATAAAAAATTAAATTTATTATTGTTTAGCTCAACGGTATTATGTTTTTTGTTAATGTTAAAAAAATTTTACTGTTGAAAGAAAATTTTAAATATCATTTTTCTAGTTTTAAATATATCAGACCGTTAAGCAAAATAATTATTTTATGCTTAAATTAATGCTAAAATTAATAAGGGTATTTCAAAAAATTTAAACAATTTTTATAGAAGCAAATATTTTAGCTACCTTTAGGTGTTTACACAATACGAAGAGAATTAAATAAAAAATTTTAAATAATATAGCTATATGACATAGGAGATATGTATGTATGACAAATAATATATGATCTAAAATATTTTTAGATTTATTAAAACACAATAAATATAGAATAAAGTTTATAAAGTGAAATAAATAAATTAAGAAAGCCGAGGCTGCTCTGAATAATTAATATTAAATGATTTCAAAGAATGAGTACAAAAAATATTTTACTGTAAAATGATAAATTTAATGTATTTTTGTAAATTTGTACATTCAAAGTATTCAAGCGTTTTTCTTTTTACGGTACATCGCATTTCTTTATAAAAATATTCAACACAACGCGTACACGCATATTCCAGAGAATATTTGCATATTTGAAATTATTCTGGGAAAAGAAAACTAACTGAAGCGTTACTCTTGTAGGAGGAAATGTGCTACAATTCATTTTCTTATTTTGTCAGTTTCTTTTTATCACCGTCCATTAAGATTCGTTAATCGTGCATTTCACTTGTGCATTTTACTGAGTTGAATGTATAATATAATAAAGAGGAATTATTCAACGAAAAATAACAAGAGCAAGAGTAAGAAAAAGAAAAAGAAAAAGAAAAAGAGAAAAAAAACAATACACAAAAACAGAATAGTAATGGTTAAATAACCTTACGGTTGAGTAACAAAAACAAGTTTAATTAAATAAAAATTCCTAAATAACAGACATATAATATCTCAATATTAACATTGAAGATTTGGCCAGCTTGCTTGTTCAATATTTCTATACTTGGCGCATTCGTCAATGACACCGTGACCAAATGGCATTTGAATAATATTTATATTGTAATCAGTGTTTACAAGTATGGCATTTATAGTCGGTATTATTGAATATTTGGTTGATGTATTGGATGCCTTGTAAGCTCCTGTAATCGGATTCATTGATCCACACCTAGTCTTTGCGAGAATACAGGCTGTTGTATTTACCACCAGTTGGGCAAGTTTCATGTCACTTGCCGTAAAATTATCAAACATATCAAGGGACTCTCTAATACAGGTCTGAATCTAAAAATTACAATTTATCAGTCGACTGATCGGTCACTGTTATTACATTACATTATATATTACATATTATTTAAAATTATTTTAAAAATAATATTTGGAAAAACTATTTTACCCGAGAGACTTACCTGAAGAAATCGCCTGGAGAAATAAATTACACCTAAAATGACAATCTAGATTGTTATTATACAGACAGCCCTACGTACAAAGTGAAACCCAACTGAGATGCGCGTGGCTGATTTGATTTTTGACGGTACACCAGATCTACTTGCCCTAGATTTCTCGTACCTCAAGCTCATCAGAGCCTCCTGTGTAGTATTTACAGTATATATACAATATTTACAGTGTGTTATTTATTTACGCAGAGTGTAAAGTACAACATCCAACCATTTGATTTATTTTAATAACAACTCTAATTTCTACTGCATTTATTAGTTGTTAAGTTATTGAAGCGATCAATCATACAGTATTTGCTGTGAAAAATTATTAAATGCGTGCCGAGGTAATCTATAAATGATGAAAACATTGTAAAAAAAAAAAAAAAGAAATAAATAAAAAACCGTAAGCGAATAAGTAATATCTAATTTGATTAATATTTACCAAAGAGTCCTTGTTGACTTGCCGGACACATTCCAAAAATGTACAATAAATAACAGCAGGACTGGAATTCAATTCCGAGTTGGCTACTGCATTCTTCGAGTATCATTAATGTTTTATGGAACATAAGCAAAATTATTATTTTATTGATTAACTTAAATTATCAGTATAGAGTGTTTTATTCAGAAAAAAGTAAAGAAAAGTTAATTTACTTTCAAGTATTCTTGGCAGTGTCCATAATCGCTGTCGCCAAGATAAAGCTCAGCACACGAAGACATTGACAGAAGCATTGGATATCCGGATGGTTTATTGGTTGCTCGAAAAAAACACCCATAGCAAGCATCCCGAGTCAGGATATTTTCGTTCTGGGATTCACTGCACAGTTGATTCAAAAGTTGAGATATTCTAACACTATTTGAACAAAATAATAATTATTATCATTATTATAGAAAATATCTATAGACATATAGATAGGAAAGAAACTTTTAGTAAGTTGATAGGGGGGGGGGGGAAAGATTCTTATTATTAAGTAAGAGTACTTGTTATAACTTCCCCACAATACTTTGGTGAAACTGTCATGAGTTAGAGCTTGAATAAATACTTTTTGATAAAGTTTACAGATGATAATGGTAATGAGTATAAATATTGTTATTTTCATAATTGAATATTGGAATTAAAACTTTATAAAATTAAATATTTAATAAAAGTGTCATGGGTTTGAGGTTTGTTGGTGGTTTTATACCTTCCTGGCTGACACATTCCCATGCGTGGGAAATCAGAGCCATGACTGTTCACATTGTTGGTTTATAAAAAAGTAGATTGATGCCGTGTTAATAACAAAAGTATTAATCGGTAAACACTCAAGTGGGAGATAATCGAGCAGATCCATGGCATCCGGTAATCTCGTGAAACGGACATGTATTTATTATATTCGTTATGAATATTATCTGCTGGTATCTCTGCTCTGTAGATTATAAACCACCAGTTTTATGTCCTACAAGCAAAATAACTCACCAAACAAAAATAAAAAATAAATAAGAAATACAAATATAGTATTTGAAAGCGAAAAGCTAATACAATTGTAACGTTATCTGTGGTAAAGAGTAAGCGTGTTCCAGGTGTATTTACGGGCTTTCTGCACCTGATGTTTACGTACGACCAATGGACGGACATTGGACACGCGACCTGGCGTGCTCACCTACACCAGATGCGCTTTTCCGCTGACAATCTCAGTATCGGAACCTACTTTTTTCACATTATCTTCTTCTATTTTTATATAGTTATTGTTGTCGAGTGATAAAAGATATAGATATAATTATTCTAATGGCACTTGTGAGCTGTTGAAGCCTCAGGAAACTCGAACAATGTCGTTCAAATTTTACACTCCATATAATTGCTTCATATATCTATACTAACGATAATGAATAAGAAAATATTTTTTAATAAGAACATTTTAGCATATAATTAAAATAAATTTAATTTTTACTAAAAAAAATTAACTTTAAGAGAAATAGATTGACCTACGCCGACGTACAGAGGGAAATTAAACGTAGTTTGCTAAGCCTGAATTTGGAAGGATCAAAAGTAAAGAATCAATTATTTAATGGGATGATAGTCCTACAAATCTATTTGGGTACGTGTATATAAACTCGGGTGATTCACTCTAATTTTGGTTTGACATCAGAAAAGCTCTTGGGCTAGCTAGAATTGTACACTATGTTTCTGCCCTCTTCTAACCCTCGTCGCGACGTATGTCTCGCCGCGGTCGGTCCGTCTGGCGCGGAAATAAATGCAACGTGTCCCATGTCCTACTTTACTCTTTTGGTATTTGTTTTTTGACGTAAATAACATCTATGGTCGAGTGTCCTACGATTGAACCCCAACTGCTACCAAAAATAATGTTATAGCGGTTGCTTTCCGAGAAAATCCGTAAACTTAAAGAATTCACTGCACAGAAAAAAAAGTCATCTTGAGTCAAGTAATATTTACTTGATCCAAGTATATTCAACTGAAGATAAAATATATTCTTGAGTTAAGTAAATTTTTTTCTTGTTTTGGTCAATCTTGGTTTAAGCAAATATTCCCTAGTTCCAACGTGCTTACCAACTTGAGTGAAGAAAAAAACTTCTTAATCTAAGTAAATCATTCTCTTGGTTTTTGAACTTGCTTCATGTACACACGGGCGTATCGAGGCCCGAGTAGGACAGCAGCCGCGCGGAAACCCATATTCAACATTAAATAAAAATTATTGTTTATGGAGCTAGAGTTCCGGGAGTCGAGACTTTTTTTCAGAAATTTCCTCCTCTTTAAGGATCTTTTTTCTGATTGTCGATATCACTTATAGTTATTGAGTTATTAACGCAACAAATTTCTAACCGTGTACTTTGTATGAGTCGAGCGAATTCTTGTATATACAAATATTTTCGTCACTACACACTTAACTGTAAATCAGTAATATAATGGGAAATCAGCAAGTTAAAAATTAATTAAAAATGTCTAATTAAATGAACACAAACAATAAAAATCATGTATAAGGTTATTTTTTTAAATTTAATTTTTTATTAAAAAAATCTCGGTTTAGTTCCAAAAAATCACGTCGCCAACGTTGGCGCTACTTTCCAAACCAAGAGAAAGATTTACTTAGGATAAGTATATGACATTATTAGTTCAAGAATAAACAAGAACTTGAAACAAGAAGTAAATTTTGAAGAAAAAGATTTTCTTGAGTCAAGATGACTTTTTTTTCTGTGTGGACTTGGATTAATTGACGTATTAAACGTATTAATCGTTGACAAATTATTTTATTTCATAGAAGAGGCTATTAGGGAAGTCCGATAAAAATTATTTTATTGACGGTTTTTTATATCGGGGTTTTTACTTTTTAAAATACCTTTTATTTACACAAACAAAAAAATTTATTATTCATTCAAGATCAAAATAAAAATATTGAAAAATTTACTGAATTAAAAAAAAAAAAACTATAACTTCCAAAACTAACAATTATTTCGTTTTTCTCAATTATTTTATATTCTTAAGTTAGAAAAAAAGCTTATTCATTCTTAATTTTCGACCCGTTCTCAAGTTTAGTTATCACTTGTATTTTATACTTATATTTTTCTGCCTACAAAAAAAAAAAACGATATAAGATCGTTCTAAGAATAGAAATAATTGATAGAAAAGTACATTTTTTGCTCAGTACAACACATAATTTAATTTATATAATAATCACATACATTAAGCAGGATAGAACTATTTTGAAACGATAAATTATTGAGATGTATAAAAATGAAAAAAAAAAAAAAATAATAATAATAATAATAACAATAAAAAACAAAGTTAAAGCAGCCGGAAATAAATAACGAGCCAAACGTTACGACTTGTAGATCTTAAAATACTAGGTTACATCAGGAAATTGATAATCACTATCTGTATTATAAACTACTTGGTATAAATGTATGACAATAGCTTCATGTTCAATGAATCCAAGTTGTATACTTAGGCCTATGGGGTTTACTGTTTAATGAAGCTATTGTATAATATATATACATCAGGAAACTTAGTTGTTACTGACGAGGATATGAAGACGAATAATAATAATAATAATAATAATAATAAGAAGAATAAGAAGAAGAAGATGAAGACTATCAGTATAAATTTTGAGTCTAGTTTATTGTCTGGATTTGGCAAAAATATAAAGCTCGCTATTATGAATGGAATAATAGTAGCAGTTATTGGTTGCGAAGAAGAAGCTATTCAGTGCGAATGGAACGAGGGTTAAAAATAGTCACAGACAATAATATACTCTGCTCGGAACAAGGTAGATAGTTTTGTTCGTTAACTGTAAAATGAAATCGAGGAAATTAAAATAAAAATGAAAAAAGAAAATTTTATTATTCGATCTCACTCAATCGCATACCCGTTCAGAAAACTGGAATGGCCATTCACCTCGTTTGGGTGGTATTGCTGTCCAAAGATCCGAGAATCCGTAGTAATAACAATTGAAATAGAATAGGGTGAAAGGGCTCAAGTTAATAAGCCTGTCATTCTTTGATTTATTTTTTTTATTTTCCAAAAGTTATTATACTTTTGTTATTTATATATTTATGTACCTACATTAAAACTTTGCTAATTAATTGTTCGTTTAATTGCTGATAATAAATAATAACATTAATCGTATTAATTGCGTATAGATTTCAGAAAGTTAAAGAAACCCCCTTAGATAGATCTTTCTACGCAATCATGCCAAATGGAATATAATCATGAAATGTTATTATTTATATTTAATACATTTCAGCATGAAAGCTCTATTAGTTTCTTCTCTTTTGAGTCATTAAAACAAATTAGATTGTAGATATTTCATAAAACATTTATTTTTTTAAATGTTCAAAAGTTAAAACCTTTAGTACCGATTAATTTTAAACTATCAACTTTGACATAACGGAATAAAATCGATTGTTTAATAAAATTAATTGATTAAAAACTAGTTTTAAATATATAATTCTTTCAAACTCTTGGAGATTTTAACATATCGAGAGAAAAATTAGAGAAAAATAGCTTCTAAAGTTAAATCTTCTTTAGCTATCAGTTAAGATATTGATCAGAACGTTTAAAAAAGTAATAAATAGAAAAATTTTTATTGATGAGTAAAAATCTATATGAATAATAAAAATATCAGTAGTAATTGTAGTACTAGTAGAGTAGGACGAGTAGTATGGATAGTAGCGTTGAAGCATTTTTTTTTCTCGACAAGTATAAGGTAGAGGGCTGGCACATGACTCCAGAAGAAAAAAAGTAGGAGTGAGTTTTCCCGCGTTGGAGCATTCGCGAGTCGTATCGGGGAAAGAGACCAGTACAGGAGAAGGTCTAGCGGCAAAGTACGCGTTCCGGAGGGATGAAATAGGGGAAATATAAAGGCTCGATCAATACTTGTGAACTCAGGACATAGCCGCCGCAGGATCGTCGTCGAATTGGGTGTGTTAGTGCCCTGACAATAATGTTTATAATTTTTATTTGTTTCTCCTTTTATAGTTTATTTAGTTATTGAAGTTTATTTTAAATATCGATTGTAATTGAATTGTTATAATTATCATTCAATCCAAGTGCACTGTTTACACTGTTATACGATATAATCTAACTTTGTCATTTAGCCAAGTGTTTAAATTTAAACTTATGACATCATCAAGCTCTATAAAAAACTGTTTCATGTCAAACAATTAAATAAATTGTTTGACATGAATATAAATATACAAAAAGAGGACTGAACTAGTGTTTAAGCAGTTTAGTTGGATACTTGCCTTTGTATATATTTTGTCTTTTGAATTTATTAAAACAACCATCAGTTATATGACTCCGAGCTGGCTTTGGGGTGACGGAAGGGTTTATCGCACGCTCCTGAATAAATCATCCTCCCTGACGCCCTTCTTATACGCTGCAGAACGTAAACGTGACGTAGTCTAGTGGGGGCGGATGACGTCAGTGGTCGATAAACTCACTTCTCCTTCTCGAGTACTACGCCACCCCTAGGACGGGTGCGAGTAGGGATTCGCCCGTTCAGCATACCTTGATCGGGGGTCCAAAGTTCCAGAGTTAAGAGCTTACTCGTATCCAGCCTGTAACCTATTTTTTAGCTAACCCGCTTAATCTCGTATCCTCGATAAAAGTCTTACTCATTTATATCCTGTATGACGAGCTGTTCCATATGGATTCTACTTCTGAGCTTTAGTCATAGCTTAAACCTTACTAAAACTTCTCCTTTATCGGGCTGG